TTTCTATTCTTTTTGTTTGAGACAGAATCTCTCTCTGTTGCTCATGCTGGAGGGCAGTGGTGCGATCTCGTCTCACTGTAATCTCTGCTTCCTGGGTTCAAGCAATTCTCATGCCTCAGTCTGCCAAGTGGCTGGGATTACAGGCGTGCACCATCATGTCCAGCTAATTTTTGTATTTTTAGTAGAGATGGATTTTCACCACGTTGCCCAGGCTTGTCTAGAACTGCTGAGCTTGAGGAATCCACCCACCTTGGCCTCCCAAAGTGCTGGGATTACAGGTATGAGCCACCGTGCCTGGCCTCCGTTTACATTCTTAATGACTGCACAATATCTCACTCTATGGAGGAGCCATCCTTTACTCCACTATCTCTATTGTTGGGGCTTTTGGTAGCTTTGGGATTCTCATTCCTTTTTTTTTTTTTTGAATACAGTCTCCTTCTATCACCAGGCTGAAGTGCAGTGGTGCGATCTTGGCTCACTGCAAACTCTGACTGCCTGGTTCAATTCTCCTGCTTCAGCCTCCCAAGTAGCTGGGATTACAGGCATGTAATCCTCCACGTCTGGCCTCCACGTCTGGCCAATTTTTGTATTTTTAGTAGAGCTGGGGTTTCACCATGTTGGCCAGGATCATCTTGACCTCCTGATCTCGTGATCTACCCACCTCGGCCTCCCAAAGTGCTGAGATTACAGGAATGTGCCACTGCGCCCGGCTGGGGTTCTCATTCTTAACAAGTCATGCTTAATGCCATCACAAGTTGAGTCTTCAGAAGCTGACAGAAATGGCATTGGTGGTGTAAGATATTAACTAGGGCTGGATCCCTGTGAAGGGAAGAGGGAAGGAGCAGGGATGGGCGAGGGAGAAGGTGAACTGTGGTACAGTCCCGCAGCCTCAGCAAACCCCAGGGTCTACAGCAGACCCCAGTGTCGTCTCATTGGGTGGAAATGGCTGGGTTTTTATAATCTTAAGCCATTCATTGACCAGATGAGGGCTTCCCTGGGAGGGGAGGGACCTCAGGTGAGGCTGCACTCTGCAGCTGAGGCCAACCCTGAAGGGGCTGATAGCTGGGGGTATCTGTTGACCACACTCTCCCTTGCTGGGTAGCAAGTCCTCCTGTGAAGCAAATCCTCCTATGAAGCTCCTATGGGACGTCTCTGTGCCTACCGCCGTCACTCATTCTGTGCCTACCACCATCACTCATTCAGTGCATATATGTTGGCACAGGTCCTTGGTATAAATTCCAAGAAGTGGAATTGCTGAGACAGAGCATGGGTATTCGAAAATCTTTTTATATTTACTGCCAAGTGATCTTCCAGAAAGATTGTACCCCTTTCTCCCATCAAGAGTTCATCACTAATGCATACATACAATTATACTGTTTTATATTTTTAAATATTGAAAAGTACCTCAATTCCTTTGGAAAATAAATACAAATTTTGATGTTTTATTGTTGTGAATTTCATTTCAAACTCCGAAGGCAGGTATTGTAACTTTCTCTATAGAGCTTTCTCTATAGAGCTCTCTAAATCTTTCCAGAAGGGTAAAACGCTCTAATGACTGATATTAGGAGGCTAAGAATTATATCTGGGTCTTCTGAGTTGGAAACTTTCAACATTAAAGAGGCCCAGCAGTGATTGGTGCCTAAGCTGACTTGAAACAGGGTTTGCAAAACCCTACAGCCTTTTCTTATAGCTATTTGAACAAGTATGTGAAATACCCATTTTTTAGGAAAAACCTGACACACTGTTAAAAAAAGAGACCAAAGGGAAATAACCTTCAACCTTCATTTATTGAGTGTCTACTCTATGCTCAGCAATACCTTGGGCTTTTATATCCACCATCATATTTAATTCTCACAACAATCCTTTGAAGTATTATCACATTATTCAGATGAAGAAATTGAAGATTAGTGATTCTGGTAGTTTGCTAATGTAAGGCATTCAGATACCCAAGCCTGTGCGCTTCTTAACATTCTCGGCTGCTGCCCCCAAAGCTACTTACACAGCAGTGGCTTTGAAAGGTGTAATGTATGTATATATTAACTCTAGTAATAATAATCCCATGAAGCTTGCAGAATGTCCTACTGGACTGAATAGTGCATAGGAGTCAGCGTCTAGAATTTTAAAATGTTGTATCACTTATAATATCTAGCACATATGAAGTATTCACTAATTACTTAAAAGTTTTTTTTTGTTGTTTGTTTGTTTGTTGAAATGGAGTCTTGCTCAGTCACCAGGCTGGAGTGCAGTGGCACAATCTCCGCTCACTGAAACCTCCTCCCAGGTTCAAGTGATTCTCTTGCCTCAGCCTCCTGAGTAGCTGGGACTATAGGCATGTGCGACCATGCCTGGCTAATTTTTGTATTTTTAATAAAGATGAGGTTTCACCATGTTGGCCAGGATGGTCTCAATCTCTTGACCTTGTGATCTACCCACCTCAGCCTCCCAAAGTGCTGGGATTATAGCGGTGAGCTACCGCATCCATCCTTTTTTTATTTTTAGATGGAGTCTTGCTCTGTTGCCCAGGCTGGAGTGCAGTGGCATGGTCTCGGCTTACTGCAGTCTCCGACTCCCTGGTTCAAGCGATTTTCCTGCCTCAGCCTCCCGAGTAGCTGGGACTACAGGCATGTGCCACCACACTCGGCTAATGTTTGTACTTTTAATGGAGACGGGGTTTCACCATTTTAGCCAGACTGGTCTCGAACTCCTGACCTCATGCTCCACCTGCCTTGGCCTCCCAAAGCACTGGGATTACAGGCGTCAGCCACCACACCCCGCTGCACTTAAAAGTTTTTTGAATAGCCAACAAGAGAGAAATATCTTCTGTTTTTTTCATCATTCCATTTTCTTTTAGGGTTTGGCCTGATCAGAGTGTAGCCAAGAGGCAAATAGGTGGTCCAGTCAGTGACTTCCATTTCAGCAGGAGCAGTTGTATTCCTAAAGCTTGTCAGCTTTTCTAAACAGACCCACGGACTATAGACAGTGCCAATAAAAAGTGGTTGAACAAAAATGAACCTAACAAACAAAAACCACCACTCCAATCTGGAAAAATGTGGGCGGTGAACTGTTTACTCAGAAGAGATAGGTTCCAATCTAGCCTTGAGAGCTAAATTCCAGAGGACAGGAAGTACAGAGAGAAGAGAAATATGCTGAAGACACCACAAAGAAGCCTATGATAAATCCAGAAGACAGTCTGGTTTCTTCAATAAGGCAATGTCATTTCAAGAAAAAGTGGGAGTGGGGAGGAGGAGGAGTCTCTTGTGGGTGAAAAAAGATGTACTCAAACTGGGTGGTCATGGATTGAATCCTGGTCTGACTAAGTCAGCTGTAAAAGACATTTTTGGGTCAGTTGGAAGAATGTGATATGAGTTGATAATTATTGTTAGTTTTAGTTAGGTGTGAAAATGAATTATGGTTATATAGGAAAGCATCCTTTTAAAAATGATATGTTTATTGTACCATTTAGGGGTGTCTGTCTTTACTTTAAAACTGATCACCAGGTGTGATGGCTTAGCACTTTGGGAGGCCAAGGCAGGAGGACTGCTTGAGGCCAAAGTTAAAGACCAACCTGGACAACACAGCGAGACTCCTCTCTCTAGAAAAAAATACCGAAATTAGCTGGGTGTGGTATCACTTGTCTGTAGCCCCAGCTACTTGGGAGGCTGAGGCAGGAGGATCACTTAAGCCCAGGAGTTCAAGGTCACAGCAAGCTATGATGGCGCCACTGCACTCCAGCCTGGGCAACAGAGCTGTCTCTTAAAAAACAAACAAGTAAATAAAATTTAAAAAATTAAAAAATAAAACCCTTCAGCAGAAGAGGTGATGAATTAAATAAGGCAAAATGTAAACACTTGTTATATATAGACCCTAGGTTTTAGATAACACTTATTCTACTAGCCTCTGCTCTATATCTAATGTTTTTCTTCACAAAAAGTAAACAACCAGAAAAATAAGAACAGGGTTTGCTTTCGTTTCAGCAGAGTAAGAACCGGTCTTTATTTTCCTCCAAACATGGAGCCATCAACCTGTGGCCTGGACAGTGCCTCAGGAGCGTGGCGTGGCCCAGGGAGCGTAGACAGACGAGCAGACTCCTTTTTGCACACCTGATTTGAGCACCGTGTGAAAAACCCGCACAAGCCGACCCGTGCGCCTCCCGCCCGACGGCCCTGCACACCCACCCAGGGCCGCTGCGGATACCGAATAACATGCCACCTCGCTGTCCCCTGAATGTCCTCAAAACACGAAGGGTGGGAGTTTTGACGCTCATCGCGAGGGCGGTCACAGGGCCTGGACTGGGCTGAGCGGGCGGGAAGTGGGGAATGCAAGGTTCCCTCCCGCTCCCTCGAACCCTCGGCGTCGAGCCAGGGTGGAGGGGCGGGGACCTCCTTCCACCACCGCACCCACCTGGAAGCGGGGCGGAGCGGGGCCGGACTCCGCGGAAGCGGCCGCACGTGCTAAGGCCAAGACTCTCCTCTGCCGCCGGGTGAGCGGGGCGGCCGCAGTGGGCTGGAGCGCGGGAGGGGACGGCGCGCACTTGGCGGCAGGGCCGGATCGCGGAGGGAGAGCGCGGAGCGGGCTCGGCCGGCGCGGCGGCAGGTGAGGGCGGCGGGCCGCGCTCCCCCGCGGGGGATGTTTCTTGGCCGGGAAAGGTGCAATTGTGTGCTGCTATTCCTGGTATGTCAGGCGGGCCGAGCGGCCGCTAGCCGGGAGGGTGCAGCTCTCAGGGGCCCGGGAGAGGGAGGGCGGGCCGGCGGCCAGCGGGGCGGGTGCGGGAGGGGTGCGGGCGCGGCGGCGCATCTCCCTCGGTGCTGAGCCGCGGCCCGGGTGGGCGGCGCGGGAAGCTGAGCCTGGCGGACGGTGGCATCCCTCGGGCCAGACAGTCTGACCGCAGAGACTGCCGCGGCCGGGAGCCCCGGGGAGCAGCGGGAGGGGCGGACGGAAGCGGCGACTCCGCGGGCCCCGGCCGGGCGGCGGGGGAGGGGGGGCCGGGGCGGGGCCACCGCGGGGAGGACGGCCCCGGCGCTGCGACTTTTGAAGTCCAAACTGTCGTCGGGGCCGGAGCCGCGCGCTGCCTCTGGGCGCCCGCTTCGCCTCCCGCGTCCTGCCAGGCTGCCCGGGTCCCCGCGTACCTTCGGTCGCTTTCAGGAGTTTAGAGAACGCCAGGTCTTCACATTCTTTTAAGTTCGAGACCTTGGCGAACTGCAGAACGCAACAAAGGCAACGAGAGCCCGGGCGCCCTCGCAGCCGGAGTCTGGCGGCGGCCCGCGAATCCTCCCCGCCAGTGGGGCCCAGACGCGCGGGGACACCCCCGCCCCTCCAGGCACCCACTGAGTCTCTCTCCCCCTCCCTTGTCCTAGCCATGGAAGGGCTGGAGGAGGCGGAGGCCGACTGCTCCGTGGCGTTCGCTGAGGCTCAGAGATGGGTGGAGGTGAGTGCCTTTCATGCTTCCCCTCCGCAGGTGTTGGCTGCCTCGGGGCGGCGGTCGCTACGTGACTGCAGGCCCGGACACTTTGCACTTTAACCTCCTTGGGTGACCCAGCCCGCGCGAAGAAGCTGCTTGTGCTCTTCTGGGGACTCTGCGGGTTCTGCCTCTCCTGCCTCTAAACGTCCCGCTTTGATTAGTGCTGCCTAACCCCCGGCCCCCGACGTTGTCACTGGCTTCCTAGGGCAGAGGTGAGCGCTCGCCCGTCGGGTGCCGGCCCTGCGCGTCCGGGGCCTCTCCCTGCGGGTCACAGCCCAGAGCGCGTGGTGCAGAGCTGGGCCAGGGCACTCGGGTGCATTTCCTCGGGGTGCCTAGAAGTGGGGATGCTCGACCTATACCTGAGAAGCCACTGTATTCAGTGTGGAGGGGGAGCGGAAAAGAAGGGTGGATGGGAGGGCAGGTGGAGGAGGTAACACACCGGAGGAGCACCTGGAAGGATGATTTCTCTGCAACCTCATCCAAGCTCCAGGGGGTAGGGGCCCGGCGTTGTGCTGCTTCATTTTCAGCTTTGATGAGACTGAGATCCTAGGGTCACTCATTGAGAGTTGTTATCCTTCCAGCTGTGCCTCACAGACAAGATCATCCATTCCCTTCTTTCCCCCTGAAAAAGAGCTGGTCTCTTCATCCACGCCTTGGGGCTACATTTATCTGTAGAAGCTTAACATCAGGACTTCTAGCTGTTATTCTACCGGACGAAAAGATGACTTTTAAAACGAGGCAAAAGTCTTCCAAGCAGATGTGAATCAGGAACAACTGTTGAAAATTGTGGCATGCACCAGCATTGCAGTCATTTAGGAGTTATTGATGCCACGTGCTGGTTTAATCAACGTATTTAAAACGTCGAATTAGTCTTAAAGTTTATGTCATGGAAAAGAACAACAGGTTTACGAATTCCAAGGCGAACAATACTTGAAAATACTTTATTTTTCCTTAAAGAAATACATATATGTGTATGGAAAGAAAGAATAAACTTTCAGTGTTACATTTCTTACACTAAATAAAGGAATGTGAAATGTGAGTAGCATTACCCACGGGACAGTTGGGAGGTCTAAGCTTTTAGTGTCTTTTTAGATGGAAACTTTGAGCTGGTCTGAAGGTGACTTAGATGTAAAGAAGAGGGCATGGGAAGTTGGGAGACGAATAAACACGCTATTTTGAATTGAAATGAGAGTGGAAAAATTTCAGCAATATAGTTAAGAGAAATAACTTCCCTCATTCATAAACTTTGAAAAGCCAAGACTTCCAACTGTAATTTTCCATTAGCAGTGTGTATTCTGCATAATTTTAGAAAACAAACTTGCCATTTTGTGTTTGAGTGTTGGGGATTGAGGGAGGGAGAAGGGGAGACGTGGGGACATGTTTTGGTCATACATGGCTTCTGCGTGGAGTTTGCATCTGCATGCCTTGTGTTCGTTTCAGGAAACGTGAATACTAATGATTCCACACCTTTTTTTTAGTATGCAGATTTTGGAAAACGAAGAATTCCTTTTTTGTCCCTGCTTGGTCATAATTATGTAGGGTTTCTTCAAGAAATTTGTACGTAATGAACTAGGGGAAAGTGTACTGTGATAAAAGATATCATCGGGCATGGTACATGTGGCCTCTCTTCACTCTCATCGCAGTCTACGTGAAGGTGTTTATCAGCAATGAGTTGGCACCTCTATAATGTATTTTGTTCACCATTAGCAGAAAGCTGGATCTTCCTAAAGGTGCTGTCATATCCTTTCTCTCTCTCTTTTTTTTTTTTTTTTTTTTTTTTTTTGTGTGTGTTTTTAGTAGAGACGGGGTTTCACCATGTTGACCAGGATGGTCTCAATCTCTTGATCTCTTGATCCACCCACCTTGGCCTCCCAAAGTGCTGGGATTATAGGCGTGAGCCACAATGCCTGGCCTGTTATATCCTTTTAATATAGTTTATGAAATTAAAATTAAGTAATTTTTTTCATGCCACATGGAGCAAGAGAGTATGTTTGCCTTCATTGTGTATATGTGAGTAATTTACATGTTCACATAGTTTTAGTATACTCTGGGCATGTGAAATGACCACAGCGTGCTCACTGTTGGGGCTATTTTGTTTCTGCGGCCAGTGTCCACATTTATCTCTCTTGTCAGCTTTGCCTTTGCCACCAAAGCACATATTTTAAAATATCGTTCTTGCCAAAAGAAGCAGGATGAATGACTCTGTCATCACCACAACCTCTTTAAGAACCCCTAATTTGAAGATAAAAGGTTGATTCCAATGTGCATTTGTATTCCTTTTCCTGCTTGCTAATATTCTTGCTACATTTTGCCCTATTCCTTTACACATTACTGAAATATAGAAGGGTTTTTAAATGTACATACTGTATATGTATGCACATATATACATATGTATTGTATAGATTCTGTATGTATTAGATGTAATCTGTTATTTTATTCTCGCTGCAGCTTTGAATGCCCCAAAGTCACTAACTCCAATAACCTTGTAAAATTTTGAATGATGACTGGACTCCATTTCAACATCTTCTTGCCATTTCAGTTTTCCATCTGTGATTTTAAATAGCTAATGTGTAATTCTCATAACCACATTTTAAGTTTATTTTTTAGAGTGGAGGAGATTGAGGTAAGAGCTAGTGGTTGTTATTCTGCCAATTATTAGCATTTTATGAATCTTGTTTTTATTCATTTCAAATTGTATTTATATACTTGAGTATATATACAAACTGGCTTGTCTTCTGGTGCTAATTTTCCAATTCAAAGCAAATGCAGGAGTGCTACCCTTTAAGATAACGTAATGATATCGGATTATTATGTGATTGGAAAGGCTGTTTGGAACATTAATAATATATCAGGGCTGGTTTATGATTAAACACCAGTTTAAAACCAAGTAATGGTTTGAAGGCAAAGGCAGAGGGGAAGCTTGATTCTAGCAAGGCTACCCAGTGGGTGATGAAGTGGTAGAAAATACAGCCGGGACTCTAATTTTAGGCCTCTTCTGCAGTACCTTTTAATTTTCTCTGCCTAATAGTTGCCTTTGTCTCTCTGTTTGGGGTCACCTGAAAGTCTTGACAAAATACTAATGAGGTTGAAACTAAGGTATGTAGCACTTTGCACTGGTAGGTCACAGCTTTCTAGTCTGCAAGTTAATGTTGCTATCTAGGTTGAGGTTCAAATACAAGAGTAATTTTTATGGCTGGAGCAGAACAGGATAACTTAATTCACCACCCTCCTGCTCACCTGCCCTTCCTGTTATCTTTGGATTGGTTTTTTTCAGTATTGCTGTCACCTTGTAAGGGATGCCAACCTGAGCTCATCGCCAAGTTTGACACTGATCACCTCTAATTGATCTGTTTCTCTACCTGCCCCAATTTTTATCCTTCACGTATGTGCTGTTCATCACCTTTTAACTGTTTTGCCTTTGGTGCTATTGGAAGTATTTTTGGTAATTAAGTACAGTTTCAATCAACAGATATTAAAACACTATGATAAATATGTGTTAAAAACTGTAGTGTTACACAGCAATTCTTATTCTAGCTGCAGGTCTTATGCATTTGTGCTATTGACTTTGAAACGTATATAGAGTGACAAAGACATACATTTGAAAATGTTACTGAATTCATGGAAGCATTTTTTGGTAATGTGTAATTTCAATCAACAGATATTAAAGACACTGTGATTAATATTTGTTTAAAAATTGTAGTGTTAGAAAGCAATTCTTACTCTAGCTGTTGTAGTCAAAATCATTTTTCTCAAAATATAAACCTGATTTTGTTAATTCCTTTTTTTCTGGAGAGCTATAAAAAGATTTTACAGTCCACAACCCTGAGTGTAGCCTTCATGGCCCTTTATAATCTGGTTCCTGCCTGTCAATCTAATCTTGGTTTTCAATCATTTTCTCCATAACTACTTGTGTGGCTGCCAGATAGCATAGCAATTAAGGGTACAGTTCTGAAGTCAAATCATCGTTCAGGTGTGGACTCTGCTATTTAAATCCTGTAGGTCTTTTTTCCTCTTAATCTCCCCTGGTGGTTGTGCCAGTTAAGTGGATGCTGATGTAGAGCAACAGATGCTCCCTAATCCATTGCTTGTGTTTCTCCTTGCACAGAATGCAGTTTTGTCACCTCCATGTTTTTGTATGGATGGAATACCTGTTACTCCTTTTTGACCTAGTAAACGCCTCTTCATTCTTCCATACTTGGGCTAAAATCAATCTTTATGTGAAGCCTTCCCGAAATCACCAAACCTCCCAGGCCCATCCATTCCTTTCTCCCCTGTCTTACTCACATAAATCTCTCTTTTTGCGTTGTGTGGTATAGTTCTATTCGTTTTTCTGTATTAGTCTGTGAGCTGACTGAGGGCAGGAATCATATCTTATTTATTGCCTGAGTGCTTCGTGTGGTGCCTGGTGAATGCTTGTTGAATGAAAGTGCGAATAAAGTTACAGCTTTAACAACATTAAAAAATAGCATTTTTAGCACGGCGCGGTGGCTCACGCCTGTAATCCCAGCACTTTGGGAGGCTGAGGCAGGTGGATCACGAGGTCAGGAGTTTGAGACTAGCCTGGCCAATATGGTGAAACCATGTCTCTACTAATAATACAAAAAAGTCAGCTGTGTGTGAAGGAGCAAGCCTGTAATCCCAGTTACTCGGGAGGCTGAGGCAGAAGAATCACTTGAACCCGGGAAGCGGAGGTTGCAGTGAGCTGAGATCGTGCCACTGCACTCCAGCCTGGATGACAAAGCGAGAATCCATCTCAAAAAAAAAAAAAAAAAAAAAGGTTTTAAGGAGCAGAACTCATTCTCTTTCCAGTGGAAACTTGCTTCAGTGTGCCAAGCTTTATTGGTTACAGTTGTTTGGTTGCGACCTGCTGCAGGATGTGTCTTCATCCGCCAGTGTGTACTTGTCTATTTACTTAGCATTTCCTCTTCTTGCTCTGTTGCCTAGGCTGGGGTGCAGTGGCCTAATCT